ATGATACCAAGAGAAAGGAGAGAAAGGAGAGGGAAGAAAAGTAAAGGAACAAGGGGAAATCACCCAGCCAAACCGGGTCATCCCGTAACTTGCAGCTCGACCCGGCAGAATTGATGAGTTCCAACACCTTTTCATGCAATTTCTCAGTGATTAGAAGCCCCACGTCACCTGGAAGTGACCTAGCATCCACTCCTCTTCCAATTTCATCAAAACACCGAGTTAAATGGGTTTGATTTCGGGATAAACCCACCGGCGGGTTCATGGGGGTGCGACGGCAAATTCCACCATTTCTGAATGTTATCATGTCAACCACCACTACCAATAGACTCCTCTTAACCCCAGGAACAAATCCCAAGCAATGGTTAAGGTGTCGGAGTTTGTTTGGAGTCGAATCAAGAACACCCATTTCTAGGGTTCCGGCGGGTTTGAGGGAAATTGGAGCTTTTTCCGGCCAAATTGGACTTGGCCACATGTATAAAGTTTGCGCTACTCTTCGAGATTCATTTCTATAATTTTTGAGAATTTTAGAAATAGTTGAATTTTTCCGATGAGTCGAGGCGGCTGACCGCTACCCGCAGCGGCGCGTGCAGTGACTCGTGGCCAGTGGGCCATCTCTGCCTCTTTCACATTATTTTCAATATTCTGAATCTATATTTAATGTACATATGGTGTGATTAAATTATTTGGACCAATTTTGTGGTAGTTAGTGACTAAAAAGTCGAAGTTAATGAAGTGGATATGTGAACTACGAAAGGCTTGATCCCACTCAAGGGTACGTAGGCAGCCTATCGAGACATTAGATGCAGCCATAAAATATGTGAGGTTAAAGAAATTCAAGATTAAAGGTTTCTAAAATGGAAATTGGTCCATAAAGGGAAATGCCATTAAAATATGAAGATAATGTCATACATTTGGTATGGAATTATAATTATGGAGCATTAGTGAAACTTAAGTAGAGATTGTAATTGTAGATAGTTAACTAAACTACGTTAAATATTTTGGGCCTACCCACAAATTTAATTCCCGAAAATAAATACTTCGGGGCCGAGGTGTTACAGAATTAAATGTTAAAAACAGAGCTAGGAAACAGACACTACATTACAGTGTCTAAATCTAAATGAAAAAAATCAGGAGTCGCGCAAGGTGTGAAATGTAGGAGACATGTGAGCGATGAAAAAAATAGAACTAGAAAATGAACACTGCAACTCAGCGTCTGAATCCAAAACTTAAAAATATAACTAGGAAATGGACACTGCATTGCAGTGTCTGAATCCAAATGTACAACGGAGTATGTAGGAGGCGTGTGAGTGATGGAAAAATGGAACTAGTAAATGGACATTGCGTTGCAGTATCTGAATCCAAATGTAAAAAACAGAATGATGAAATAGATACTGCGTTGCAATGTCTGATCGTATGGACTTATTCTAAATTATAAACTATGAGAATATGAGTGTTAGTTGAAGTAGGTCCCAGTTGTAGTGACAGATTTTGTAATTTTTGTTTGTTTTAAATGCATTTAAATATCACAATACATGATTGATCTATTTATAATTAACATAAATATTGTTGATCTATTGTTAATATTGTAACTTTGTATTGATTGTACACAAAATGACCATTTTTTGCAAATTTTTTTCTTTAATGAATGCGATTTATCCATTTTGTTGATAAAAAAACTCTCGTTAAGGCCGCACTCGCAGCCCATCCAAATGAAAGAGAAAAAATTAGTCATTTACACTTTTATGCCCCTGAGATTTAAGCATGACGGAACTAGGGATGACAATTCTAACTGTTAAAATCGATAACCGTGGATAACTGTCCGAATGGATTGGATTTGGATATCAAAATTCGAGTACATATTTGCATATGGGGAGAAACCATGAATAATATTCGGTTATGGTTTTGAATATAGTTATAAGGGTCCCCAATCCATATCTATCACCGAATCCGAACCGAATTATATATAATATAATAGTATTTATATATAATCATATATAATATAATTGTATTATAATATATATATATTTATTTATTTATTATTTACTGAATCCATTACCTTGAGAATACAAAAGTTGCACTGCATGAGTTGCATTTTATGGGCAAGTTAAAAAGTTTTAATATGAATCAAAATCTATGAGAATCCAGACCAATAGTACTTATGGGAGATATCAAAGATCAGCCAATATTAAAAATGTTTAGCTTTAATTTTTATGCTCCACAAGATCCATTCATTAAATCATTTTATACATCAAATATTTAGTGATGAAATTAATATTTAGGGTAAATAACAAAAAACTACCTCAACTATTGGTCTGACGACACTTTTATACCTTATATTTTAAAAGTGACAATGTCATACCTCATCTTACGAATCTGTGACAATGTCAGACCTCCGTCATTTTTTCTGTTAATTTTTCTGTTAAATACTGATGTGGCTTGAGACGGGACCCACTTCCTAGCCAAGTGGATAAAAATATTAATATTTTAATTAAGTATCAAAAAAATTATTTTAATATTTTTATTTTAAAACATGTGGGACCCACCCCCAATAATTATCTCCCTTTCTCTCCTTTTTCTTCCTGATCCGTACCCATCTCTCCCTTTCTTCCCATTCTCCTATGTGTTCCATCTCTCTCTCTCTCCTATCTCTCTCACATCCAATCTCTCTCTTATCTCTCTCACCTTCACCTTCACCTTCACCTTCATTCATTCTTCACCATCTTCCTTCGTCCATTCTTCACCTTTTTATTTAAAAAAAATTTGGACCAAAAAAATCCAGATTTTGTTTTTTGTTTTTTGCAGTGGGTTTGTCGGGCCTAAGACAAGATCTGCGAGGCGACGAGGATGTAGGGCCTGATTTGGTGGGGCCCGGCACGGAGGATTGACGGGTGGGGAGACGAGGTGTGTCTGATTTGGGAGTGGGCTCGGGTGGGGAGAAGGGAGTGGGGAAGACGAACTTGGTTTTTTTTTTGTTTTTTTATTTTTTTTTTTACACTTTTCTGCTCAGGTCGAGGGCCGATTTCGGCTCCAATATCATCCTCGGCGCCTGAGAAGAGAAAAAGGCGAGAGAGAAAGAGAAAGGAGAGAGAGGGTGAGGGGGGAAGGTTGCGGGGGAGGGGCGGGTGGGAAGGTTTCTGGGTTTTGGGGATGTAGGTGTGCAGAGAGGGATGAGAGAGAGGAGAGAGAAAGGCGAGAGAGAGAGGAGAGAGAGAGGTCCCACAATTTTATATAAAAAAATATTTTAATTTTTAATTTTTAATTTTTAATTATTAAAAATATATTTAATTATTTTTTTAATCCAATTGAATTAGTGAGTGGACCCCGTATCTAGCCACGTTAGCACTTAACAGAGAAATTAACAAAAAAACTAACGGAGGTTTGACTTTGGCACAAATTCGTAAGATGAGGTATGACATTGTCATTTTTAAAAGATGAGGTATGAAAGTGTCGTTCGACCCATAGTTGAGGTAGTTTTTTGTAATTTACCCTAATATTTACTAAATTATCATGCGTTAATTGAACGAATATATTTTTTGTATTAACGAAATTGGTATAACCGTTAACCGATAGGAAATCTGTTACTTGGTGGGTATGGTTATGGATGATATATACCTGATGGTTAATTGGCGGTTATGGATATGGTTAATTTTCGTGATTATGAGGATGGATATAACATTTCTGTCCCCAAACCAAACCGTTGTCATCCCTACCTGGAACAGTTTGGAAGACTTTAGATTGACAAAAAACAACCCTTAAACTTACATATCTTTTCAACATTGGTGCTTATATCAGTTTAATCATCAAGTTAATTGTTTGTATTTATCTAGTGCTTTCACTAGCATTGCGATGTACGGTTGGTGACATAATATTTAACGGTTCGATTTAGTTCGATTTTGACTAATACTGTCATTAAAACCAAATCAACCATGTAATTGTTACTCGGTTTAGTTGTCAGTTTAAACATATCCACAACGTCAATAAAAAAAAGTCCAATATCTCAAGAGTTTTAATTTTCTAAAAGTCCACATATCCCACACATTTCAATTCAATCAAAATGTTAAGTTTTGGGAACATTAAAATGTCATCTAATCAACTAGGACTAAGTTTTAGTTGAGTAAAATATCCTTCTAGCAAATGATTTATTAGTTACAACTTCACCTAAGCATAAAATGCAAACAAATTATAATATGTGTGTGGTAAGACCTCCAATTAATATATAATACATTGATATGTGTAAAATAAATAAAAGGAAAACTAATGAAAATGGTTTGAAAATTTTGAATTTTAACGATAAAGACAAACTAAAGGGTAAAGTGAATAATACCATGATTGACCTTTTAGTGTAAAAATGTGAAATAAATAAAAGGAAAACTAATGAAAATGGTTTGAAAATTTTGAATTTTAACGATAAAGACAAACTAAAGGGTAAAGTGAATAATACCATGATTGACCTTTTAGTGTAAAAATGTGATTTTTTTTGTTAAAGTGAACAATATCAGGAGTTTTTCGTTAAAGTTTTCATAAATAAAATTTATAAGTAAAAGAGATATGGTCGGTTCAGTGTGATTTTGGTTTGTAGCAAAAGTATGAAATTCAAACCAAACCAACTATTTGGATTGGTTGGTTTCGTCAGTTTGATGTACACCCTTATTATGATATCGTAATATTCTAATATAAAAGGTGTCAAGTTACGCTCGCATAATTAACAAGTTTGATATTTATTTATCTTAAATAGCTCATTTTACTTATATGGCCGCATGATTGATGTCACGTATGTCGTTTTGATCTCCGGTTAGGTTAACATTTTCTTCTAAAGAAATTTTCCTTGTCCATAAACAAGGACGAACTTGTTACGTATGCTAATAAATAGGGGTGCAAAATGTAATTAGAAAAAAAACGAAACCCTAATTTAGCTATCCAACTCACGTGACTCGCACGTGCAAGCCCATCTCCCAATGGCAACAAATACTAAAACCCTAGCAGCCGTCCCTTCCCACTTCTTCAAACCCGTTCACCTTCGGCCGCAGAGCAGAGAGAGAGAGAGAGAGAGCCTCCGAGCAGCGAAGAATCTTCAATCGTAGAAAATGGTGGCCCCGAAGAAGACGAAGAAGACCCACGAGAGCATCAACACCAGGCTCGCGCTGGTCATGAAGAGTGGCAAATACACTCTCGGTTACAAGACCGTCATCGATTCCCTCCGCAACTCCAAAGGCACGACCATTTCTTATCCCTTGTAATCTCCAATCTTTCTAATTATTTTCTAACTTTCTGCATTCGATTTGTGATTTTTTGGGGTTTAATTTCATGTTTTGTGATTTGGGTAAATTGCAGGGAAGCTGATTATCATTTCCAACAATTGCCCACCTCTGCGGAAATCTGAGATCGAGTACTATGCTATGCTCGCCAAGGTTGGGGTTCACCACTACAATGGAAGTAAGTGATTTATTGCCATTATATTAGGGTTTTTTTTTTTTTAATATCAGATTTATCATATTTTTTAGCATAATCTATGGATGGGTTACTTTTTTATGTATGATATGGATGTTGCATGATTGTTTATTTTGAAATAGTAAGATCGATAGATAAAAGGAAAATAGTTGTGTAAATCTGATATGGGTAGTGTTCATCTGAATTAAATGACAGTTCCTCGACTATATAATGTCGAAAAAGCGTAAATGGATGTAAAGAAGTGTGACAAATAAAATGATTGTAAAGAAGCGTGTTTGATTAGTGGTGGAAATACATGGTTGAAGAATGAACAACAATCTCAGCCATTGTTGACTTGACGATAGATATTGAATATGGGCGGTGTAGATATGATTCTTATTCTCACTTGTCTACTTTCAAGATGGTTCTGGTGTCACACAATTTCATTGAAACTGTGACGGCTGGTGCTTAAGAGGGTTTAAATTCATGGGATTTGTACTTGACAATATTCTTCCTTGTCTACTTTCAAGATTGTTCTGGTGTCACACGATTTCATTGAAACTGTGACGGCCGGTGCTTAGAGGGTTTAAATTTATGGGATTTGTATTGGCTGTTAGATGTTAGAACTTGTCCGACTGTGTTGATTAATCCATGATGCATGATTGCCTTGGTCTTATTTCTCTGTGTGCATTCATCAGTTCTGTCTTTCACCTCTTGTTCTGTTTTTGTGTGATTTAGTCTTTGTTCTCTAAAATATTGGTTTGTTGTATTAGTACTTTGTTGCTTAGCCCAGTCGAATATCTTTCAGGTCACATTCCTCTCAATAATGTTCAACATTCTCACATGCGTGAAACACTTTTTACAACTTTCCAGTGCTTAACATAATGAGGATTTATATATGCTACATGATTCTAATTCTTGTTTTCTTTGATAAAATGTCAAAAAGGAAATTATTTTGTTCACTATTATCTTTTCATCTGGCTGACCATTTGTTATGTTTTCAGACAACGTTGAGCTCGGTACAGCATGTGGAAAGTATTTCCGGGTGTCTTGCCTTAGCATCATTGATGCAGGTACTCCATAGTTTTCTTATCGTTTTAAGCAATTTGTTTGCAACCTAATTGATGTGAAAACTGATTTGGCTAACTTTGTCACTTACTACTATAATCTTCAGGTGATTCGGATATTATCAAGACGCTGCCTGGTGGTCAGTGAAGGAGAGTAGGATATTGGCTCTATATTGAACGTAGTATTTTGTTTTGAGACTAAACGTTTCTTTTCTCTGAATGAAATTCTCGATTTTGTTTGACAATGTTGCCTTGTTGCTAAGTTTTCGGATACTTAGATTTACTATATGTGTAAGGTGATCTTCGTAGCGACTTAATGCATGGCATTTTGAGATTCGTTGAAGTTATTTTTGTTATATTAGAGAACTCATCCTGGGCTTTTTCCTTCTGTTTTGGTGTTTTGTGTTGTGGTTGACTTACCCATGTTGTTTGCATAATCTTCAAAGTTGGGAGGAATTCCTCCTGAGAGATTTTTGACGTTTGGGCTCCTCCGAGGAGTTTTTGATCCACGGAGAGCGAACTCATGTTTAAGTTCATCACGAACACGACAGGAGCCGCTTTGTGATCTACGCTATGTTGGTTGTGAACATCTATGCATGATCAGATCATTGAACATTTAAGTTTCAGAAACACTTTATGTCGAGAAGGCCTGGATTGACTGTCGCAACGAGTAGTGCATCCTTGTCTTGAAAACTTAAGATCTTGAGGCTGAGAGGTGTTCCTCGTCGTCAAAGGCGTTTTTGCTATCCCGGCGAGGGTGTCATGTTGATTGCTATGCGTTATTGCACGGCTTCTAGCCTAGGCTAGAAGACCTAGCTTCAAGTTGTAAAGAAAATCTTTCCAACGCATCCAATCAGCCTGGCCAAGCTTCTTGTGAGGCCAATTTAGCCCCAGCTCTTGCCCAAGACTCTTTTAAGATAACAGCTTAGGACAAAACTAGTAGCCCATGAAAATTAGTCACCCAACACTTAAATGGGATTTTTGTCAAACTCAGACGAGTATACTGAAATATACTCATTTGAGAGGCTAAACTTTAGCATACTCCCTAAGTTTGATAAAACTCCCAAATGAGAACTACAAGCACTGCAAATCAGACAGTTTACACATATATTGATTCCTTGACAAGCTTCTGAAAAGTAGACTTCGACAATGACTTTTTGAAGAGATCGGCAAGGGTATCTTGGGACCAAATATGTTTGAATTCAATCTTCTAATGCTCTTGGTGCTAATCTGAGAAGAAGAATTTTGGAGCCATATGCTTGGTATTGTCTCCTTTGATGTATCCTTATTTGATCTGGTCGATACAAGTGACGTTAGGGCTGGGTTTGGTTCGAAACGGTTCGGTTTTTTGCCAAAATTGAAACTCAACCGAAATTTCGGTTCGGTTCAAAAAAAATTTTGGTTTTTTTCAGTTTGGTTTTTTTCGGTTCGATTTTGGTCCGGTTCGGTTTTTTCCATGCTTTTTTTTTAATTTTTTTTTTTTTACATCTGGAGCTTGAATCTCACATGCTTCCCTGCCTTGAGCATCCTCATTCCTCAGTGAGAGATCAACCTGCAACATGCCCTAATCAACATATTTGAACTTTAACCGAGAAGTCAACTTAACTCATGCTTTTCAGTTTTCATCTCTGCATTACACAATATTATACAAAAGCTTAATACTTACCAAATTAAAATCAACCAAAACGAAAAATCATCAACCAAAACGAATTTAGAAACCAACAATAGTAAACACGGTTGGACATTTGAGCTGAAACAAGAAAGACCCAACCGTAGCAAAACTAATTTAGAAACCAAAACCAAAAACAGAAAACTTAACCTAATTTACCAAATTAAAATCAATCAAAATGAAAAAAATCAATCTTTTTTTTAAATTAATAGTTAAAATAAGGAAGAGATCGAACTCTCTCTGCACTAGAGCCAGTTGAAGTAATCGAACTCCCTTTGCCATCCTCCTCTGCTTCCGATTCGAAAGGGGCGAGGGAAAATTATGGTTTGGAAGAAGGAATCCGTGAGGAAGATAGGAGAAGACTCAAGACTGGAGAAAGAATGACTTAGAGGAAGAGATGAAGGGGAGAGAGAGACTGAGGAAGCAGAGAGAGAGGAAGAAAGCTGCGGAGGGGAGAGAGTGTGAGAAAACATGAAAACTGAAATGGGAGGAGTGAGTGATGGCTAGGGTTTGTAGACTTAAGAAATTTTATAAAGTATTAAATATTAGAAACCTATAAATATTTTCCTAATACAACCATAACAATACAAAGCCTATAGTCAAGTTGGCTTGTTGTAATTATACCAACCTGACGGCAGGGGTTCAAACCCTCACGCCAACATGTTTTGAAGTATTTATATATAATTTTTTTTCCGGTTCAGTTCGGTTCTGTTTCTGGACCTCAAAAATCAAAACCGAACCAACCAGATTCGGTTCGGTTCAGTTTGGCAATTTTAGTTCGGTTTTTTTTTTGTTCGGTTTTTTCCGGCTTTGGTTCGGTTTGGTTTTCGGTTTTCGGTTTTTTGAACCCACCCTTAAGTGACGTTGTCTTCATAAATTGTTGTAGGGACGTCAACGATGGAAGAAAGTCTGCAAGTGCTTGTAGGATGCTCAATAACAGCTCTCAGCTAGAAGCATTCACATGTAGTTTCGTGAAGTGCGAGAATTTAAGCATGGCTCAAAGAAGTCGCAACTAAGGTCTATTTGGTTAACCTCCAAGATATTGTAGTGTCTCCGATGGTAAATAACCTTTGTCATCATACTAACAAGGCAAGCATCATTTCAAAGACCAATGGGGTATGATCTATTCTGAGATGTATAGGGATAAAATAAGCTCAAATCCATAGTACCTTTAAGGTAATAAAGGATTTCTTTAACACCATTCCAATGTCGACGTATTGGTGCGTTGTTATATCTTTCCAAAAGATTAACGGCGAAGGAGATATCTAGTCTAATGCACTAAGCTAAGTACAATACATCGCCAATTGCAATCAAATATGGAATTTTAGGCTCCAAAACCTTTTTCTCATTGTTTGTAGGATGGAAAGGGTCTCGTTTAGAGTCCCAATGAGATTCATGTCATTGACATAAATTGCAACTATCGCAAAATCGGAATGTGACTTCGTGATGAACACGCATTGGCATATTTCATTATTCAAATATCCTTCACCAATCAAATACTAACTCAAACGGTTATATCATATCCGTCCGAATTGTTTCAATCTGTAAAGTAAACACCTCAATCTAATGAAGAGGGTGGTCCAGAACTATTTGTTATAGTCAATGTAAGTCCTTCAGGAACTTTCATATAAATTTCGATCAAGATCCTTATATAAATACACAGCTACCACGTTCTAAGTTGCATATTATGATGTTCATTACGGGAAATAAGTCTTCTCATAATTCATCCCAGGGCGTTCAGAGAAGCCTTATGCCACGAGGCGTGCTTTATATTGCAACATTTCATTATTCTCATTACGCTTCCTTACTAAAACTTAATTGTAGTTATCTCACTTCACATTTTGAGGTGTATGAATTGCAGGCCAAAACACTTTGCATTTCACAAGCGAATAGAGTTCGACCTAGATTGCTTGTTTCCAGTTTGACCAATCAATTCTATGTCGCCATTCATCAATGAAATAAGGTTCAAAATCATCGATTAACATGATATCAGTAGCCACTGAAATCTCAGTCAACTATCATCTCATCATTATTCCAAAGTACATCCAAGCTTCGTATAATGGACTGAATTCTCACGATTCTCGAGAGGTAAATTCGTCTCTTCAAGAATGTTTCCATAATCTAGAATAACTTCATGCGTTGGAATGGATAAGTTAGCGATGGTTTCAAGCTAGTTGAACTAGTGTGTGCAGTGTTTTTCCTCTTTCAGGGTTGTGAATCCTTTCAACCAACGGGTCTGCCAATTTTAAGGTATGAGCATATGATTGGCTAGCTGTTAGTCTACCAGGCTATCTAATGATTGGTAAGCCCTAAGCTTAACAATTTGTGCTAGTAGTTTCGCAAATGCATCATTACATGTGGATAGTAGGCAAACATGTGAACAATGTGTTGATGCGTAAACCAACACCATAAAGTAAAAAATGGTCCACATGGTTGTTAAATAGGCCTATAAATGTCCCCTTGAATCCTCTAAAGAAAGGTTGAAGGATCCTTTCGAATCTTGTTGGTAGATGGGCGAGTGTTTAATTTACCCAACGAACAAGCTTCGTAGGAAATGCAACCAGGAATGATATTCTTACTGCTAGTAAGAGGATGCTTTTAAGTAACTTTGAGGATATAGAGCATCATATCACGTCTTGGATGTCCCAAGCAATCATGTCAAAGCGTGTCTTCTAATGCAAGCCCAAAGGTAACACCGACCACATAGTGATCCTGAACAATGCAAATGGTTCTGACATATAAGCCATTTAGAAGGCACTCCATCTTTTATAGAATATGCTTCTAGCCATATTTATAGGAAGTGATGCAAAGGAATTCAACTCCATTTTCTTTAGTGGTTTCAACGTGATAATTATTATCTCAAAAATCTTTGAAGCTCAACAGTGTTCTTCCATAACAAGGTGTTTGAAGAGCATTTTTAATGGTTAATTTAGTATTATTGGACAACATTATATAGGCATCGCCATGCCCCTCAATCAGGTTGAATGGGTCAAAAAGGTTGTCAAAAGTGAATTTTTAGGTATGAAGTTAGTAAATTAGATGTGCTCACGCAAGATGGTGTCCGTGGTTGAACTATATACTAGACAACTAACTTCCCCACAAAACATTACCTAAAAATAAATTAATTGAATAGGTTATATGATAAAGAAAATTTCGATTTCATTCATTTAATTTATTATTCGAGAAATAATATCCATAAATCATATCCAAAATTTAAAACAATACCAAACAAATTATCCAACACAATAAAAATTGTTCAAAAACTTCAACAAAAAGAACATAAAGAATTAGGTCACTATGGGAATTCAGCCAACGTGTAGGACCATGTTCAAAAAAATCTAATCTTCCATCAATGCAGATACCTCTTGAAAATGGAAATCTCCATGGTGGTATCTTTAGGATTATCCACTTCAACAAAGTTAACCTTTATGGCCTAACGACGCGAATGATACTCAGCAACAGCTTGAGCGGAAGCTTGGAAAGTATAGAACCAATGATCCTTCGAACCACAGCTGTAACACATCTCCGCTTATTTGTTGGTGGGTAATTTGCCTTTATTCTTGAAGTTGGAGGCTTTAGAAGCTAGGGAATCATGCTTCAGGCTTTGATTTCCTAAAACCTCTCACGTTCAAATGAAGAGGAATACCACCAGACTTCTCACTTCCAAAATCGACTATCAATGAATCTATTTAACATCTTTTTTATTCTATTATGCTTTG